CGGTCATTCGGTGGCATTAGATTCTCCAGCCTATCGAATGCTTTATTTTTGGCCCACTAACATAAAATCTGAGTCTGTCAATTGATTCAAATATCTCGGTAAATGGTCACTTACTCGTGGAGTTCAGACTTCTGCATCATTTTTGTGTGCGTACTGTTAACGTCGTTATAAAGAGTTGTGCAAATCTCGTACCCACTATAACGCCTTCGCTTGCTCTGAAGTTAGTTTATGTCTGCGTGCATTCACGTGTGTATGACGCGGATTGTGCATGTCAAATATGTCGTGCTCCCACTGCCACCCCTACTCCCTCCTCCTGAAATTAGCACGTAACACACAATATAACCCACTGACGAAACTAGACTATGATGGCGAATGAGGGGCTATAACGAAAGGGAGATGATCGAAGCGATGGGTTGACGAGGTCGGGTAGATGAGTAGAGTAGAACGGGTTTCAGAAATTGTGGTCTATAATTGGGTGGCAAGGCTAGCAAATGATATATCTCGGTCAAATATCAAGGGGAGTGGGTCGATTTGAGCGTTGAGGATCTGGGGGTTGGCCTCTTATTACTTTGCTATTAACCTGCAGTCATTAGCTCATACTAACGCTTGGATGACGTCAACTGACAATACCAGATAATTTCAGTAATCAACATCTTGTTTAAAAAAAAAAAAAAAAAAATCTTCAGAGCTCAGCCTGCCATTTGACGGTAGTTTTCCTGTATGCATTCGCAATTATCCGGATAGTTGCTACTGCTAGTAGGTCTCAGTTCGCTTATTCATCAATTGCAGCTCAAGGAGGTTCAAAATGAAACACCTTCCCAGATTTGAAGTAATGATTGAGCGTTCGATGTTTCTGTTTTGTTTTTCGTAGATGACTCGTTAACGGATTAACGTATATTGTCGAGTAATTTAGGGTTCTAAAAATCTGCAACAAGTAATTCAATGGATTGTGTACAATTATAATTCACTGAGCCAAATCGAAACCGGTATACCATGGTGGCAATAAAATCGTTCAAGTAACCGGCCCTACCGATTTACTGATTTTCCGCGGTTCGAACTAAACATGTTTCGCCACATTCCCTCCTACATTGACGAGAGCCATATTTCATTTTGTACTAGCATACTTTACAATAGCGTGGTACTCAGAAACTTTGCAGTAAGTTCATTATTGATGAATTAAAAATCAAAGGCTGATTTTAATAGAACTGAAGTAAATAACGAAAAGTAATGAAAACTTGAGTTACAGACCGTAATTACTAACAATCGTGATTACAATCCACGAAACCTCTCAACATGTTACAAACAAGTTACGACAACCTTATAAATTACTAACTATTTCACCAAGAAAACCTTGCAAATTGACAACGAACCCAGAACGCTCTATTATACGAAGTTTCGGAAGTTTAAGCAAACATGTCAAGTAATTTCCGCCATAAACTGAAAAATCCCCCCTGGTACTACTTTTTCGTAGTTACAATCGTGTGAACGGGCAGCGATGTAAAACAATGAACCATTCTGGCTTAATTATTTATTACTATCATTTAAACTCCTACGTTTCCAACAAAGCAAATTACGCAATGCTGTCAGTCAATTACGCCCTACACACGCATTCAATGTTTTGCGGCTGAATGTTTTGCATTCTATTTCATATAATACGGCATGATTAAGTGCGGAGTACGTTGATTTCCAACTTTACTATATTTCTCGGTAAAGGCACGTTTTCTAGATGAAACCCAGGCATAGAAAAACGCATGATTAGGAACGGATATAGTGTCTAGTTTTATTACTGGTTAGCTTTCCCTCAAAAACGTAATCGCGATGCCCGCTTTAATTTTGTGATGAATTATACCTTCGGTGCAGTGACTCTCAGCAGTGAAATTGATGCCAATGGGGCATTACGTAGAGGTCAATTTATTCTATTGTCAATTTGTTCAGTTGTTCTGGTTGAAGAACCCTCTTATTGTCATTCAGTGTGACTGGTAGATTTGGTTAACTACGTCAATATAACTTTGCCTAATTCAGTAAAACTCCAGACGCGCCGTTCACCCAATTAGTCGCAGCCGCTTAGTTTCGGGGACGCCGTATCATTATCATTTAGTAATGTCCTATACTTGCTTAAGGACTATTCACCTAATTGACATTCAGTGCGTCTGGCACATTTGGTAAACTACGTCAATATCACTCCGCCAAACTCAACAGAATTCCAGGCGCGCCGGTTCGCCTATTTAGCGTCGGCCATTTGGTAGGGGACGCCGCATCGTTATAATTTATGCAAATTGTTAGTGCAGCAGATAACCGAACGATTTTTGGGACCAAGTCAATAAGATAAACAGTCATTGTCAGTTGGCTCCATTCCTCTATTCAGCGACTAATTTACGGGATAACAATTGTAGTGGTTAAGAGAGACATACGGCCTGGCGTTACACCAGCCGCCCTTACCAGGAAAATAGTCCAGTCGTTACCATTATATCGAATGGGGTAGATTATTACTACTTATTGTCATTGCCGACATCATGCCCTGCACCAGTGAGGGCTGCGACGAGTCCACTTCTAGGACACATGTAATGGTGTGTGACGCCTATTTACTGTAAAGTTTCTACAGCACCAACCCAGATCTCCCGACTGCTCTGTGAGCGCTGGGTTTACTGCCCCCATAAATGAGACAGCGACGGCTGGCCATGCGTGGCCGTAATTACCTCTCTATGGAAGCGAGCTGAAGCGTGTTGGTACGGTATACACAATCGACTGGATTACACTTTTTCAATTGTCGGGGAATGAGAAATAAGTGCTGTCCTCCCTGTTCTGGTCAAGGTAGTGCAATTGTACTTAAGGCAGTGTTGGTCGTTGCATGGAGATACCACTTGCATGCCTCCACACATTTTCGAATGGTTGGAGACGTGCCATTGGCTGGCTGAAGGTCAGATCCAGTTTGGAGGCCCGTACTGTCGTGAGCCGGCAGTGAAACGGGCAGGCGTCGTTGTTCGATTGCCTGTGCTGCCGCTGGTGAGAAGCGGCGGTGCAGGGTGCGTGCCTGATTAGCTAACCCGGATGTAGGGTGATGCATCACGCTGACGCCGTTGATAGATATCCGGGTGAAGTCCGCTGTGGTATTCCGGACGGTCCCGATGTGGTTTTCCGGGTGTAGTCTGCTGTGGTATTCCAGACGTACCCCGTTATGTTGCCGGGTTAAGTCCGCTGTGGTATTCCGGACAGTCCCGATGTGGTTTTCCGGGTGAAGTCTGCTGTGGTATTCCAGACGTATGCCCTTATGTTGCCGGGTTAAGTCCGCTGTGGTATTCCGGACAGTCCCGATGTGGTTTTCCGGGTGTAGTCTGCTGTGGTATTCCAGACGTACCCCGTTATGTTGCCGGGTTAAGTCCGCTGTGGTATTCCGGACAGTCCCAATGTGGTTTTCCGGGTGTAGTCTGCTGTGGTATTCCAGACGTACCCCGTTATGTTGCCGGGTCAAGTCCGCTGTGGTATTCCGGACAGTCCCGATGTGGTTTTCCGGGTGTAGTCTGCTGTGGTATTCCAGACGTACCCCGTTACGGTTTCCGGGAGTAGTCCGCTGTGGTTTTCCGGACGTACCCCGAGGTGGTTAGAGTTCCGTGAGTCTAAGGAATCACGACAAAAGGGTATCTCATGTAACGGGGCTACATGGTGGTGCCATGATTAGCCGCATGGAGGGGGCTACTAATTCCTGGAATTCACTTCCGAAGTATGGTTGTCGTGCGAATGTGATTATTACTAGCTCGTTCCGGAAGCTCCTAATTGCCTTCAGAGTGGGCTGACTCTGTGGTCAATTTCAGCTGCAGGCTGCTTCCAGGATGACCTGAATAATGATTGAGAGGTGCATGCATGCAATAATGCCAGTTGCGGAAGCCCAGAGATAATGATGCTAGCTGCCCATCCCGACCATTAAACACTTGCCAAAAAGTCAGATGAACTACCCTTGATCGATATTGTTTACGACCGCTCTGAGTGGGCCTGTATTGCCCGGGCGTGTCCACCAGTCGCACAACATCACCAGCTGCTCGTTTATGACGCTGAACAGTGAAATCGATATTCAATCCCAGAGAGAATAGCACGGCTCTCAGTACAGCCGACCGACAGCGTGCAGGTGCTACTGCACTCATCGCTTGGTAACAATCCAATTCGGTAATCGTTTTACAGCCACGCTGAGCCGCGCGCGCCGCAGGACCGGTGAGGCGTCATTTTATTGTGATTGTTGTCTCGTTCCACCCAGTACAGAATTGACAAGTGTCACCACCACGTACTTGACTGATACAACTTTGGCTCGGAACGAAACGAATTAGTAACTTGCCTGTTCTCTCCGCGCGTCTAACAAAGTCTCCGTCAGGTCACCCGGGCCGACAAGTTTTAAAAGTAAGACAGTAGTGGGCTGTGCAGGTGCGGCCGGGATCACTCGGCGTGTCCGCTGCCCGTTTTATGGCATGAAAAACCGAATCGATAGTTGTCGACGAAACTACCCCTCTCTCTCTCTCTCTCTCTCTCTCTCTCTCTCTCTCTCTCTCTCTCTCTCTCTCTCTCTCTCTCTCTCTCTCTCTCTCTCTCTCTCTCTCTCTCTCTCTCTCTCTCTCTCTCTCTCTCTCTCTCTCTCTCTCTCTCCACTCTCTCTCTCTCTCTCTCTCCCTCTCTCCCACTCTCTCTCTCTCTCTCTCTCTCTCTCTCTCTCTCCCTCTCTCTCTCTCTCACTCACTCACTCACTCTTATTCTCTCTCTTTCACTCTCCCTCTCTCTCCCTCCCTCTGTCTTCACAGTTCCGTAACGTGCTTGTAGCGGAACAGTAAATGGGGCTATTGAGTTTTCCTGGCATTATCGGTGCGCTTTGTTTGGTTTAATTTACCTATGATGCGTAGACACTGAACGTTTACCGAGATATGAGAGTGCAAATTGACACAATTCAGACTTTAACAAAATTAGTCAGTCACGACAGCTTGTTGCTTTTATGCATTTTGGGCTTTGGGAATCTAAACTGCTTAATGATCTGCCGACAAACTGACGGGCGAGCGTGAGAGGCGTTACGCGGCGGCGATGATGTTGAACAAAGAAAACAGGAAGACTAGTTGCGAGCATCACGACCAGAACCAAAGGAAACAGGAAGAAAATCACGGTACCACGACACGCCAATCAAAATCAGCATCGACATCGCATCATCACATCGAAATATCAATATTATATATAATTTACGGAAACGCCGCGTAACACTACCACAGCTGCAGCCAGCTCCAGTCTTGGGATTGTCACCGACTTCTTCGGTGTGACACGACTCTTGCTCATGACCAGTGACGTTGTAACTGATCCATCTTGATCTATGATACGCAAGTAACTGCAGGCTCCATATCCATCTAGGCTTGCATCCGAGAAGTGGTGCAGTTCACATCTGCAGTCCGCCAGGCTGTGCTCAGAGAAGGCGTACCTTCTTGGAATAGAGATGTCTGCGATCTGCTTCAGGTCCGTCTTCCATTCCTCCCACGGGGGCTCGACGTGGTCCGGAACAGGCTCATCCCAGTCACGCCCGTCACAGCACAGTTGCTTCACAATGTTCTTTCCTAGGAGTGTGAATGGGGCCACCCAGCCGAGTGGGTCATACAGGGAGCTGACCATGGAGAGGATTCCTCTCCTGGTTGTCGGCTTCACTGAGATGTCCGTATTTATGTGGAACGAGTCTTCTTGAAGATTCCATTTCATGCCGAGTGCGTGTTCAATGACAGTCCTTTCAGAGATGTCCACGTGCTCCAAGGACTTTGCACGCCGGCTCTCGGGAACACTTGCCACCACCTCGGGACAGTTGGATGTGAACTTATGCAGCTCAAAACCTCCACTCGAGCACATGCTGATCGTGTCCTTGACCAGCTGCACACTTGACTTCTCTTCGGTAGTCGACGTCAGACCATCATCCACATAGAAATCTCTTCTGATGAAGTCTGCCGCGTCAGATCCAAACACTTCTTCGTACTGGTCGGCTGTCTTGTTCAGGGCACTCATGGCGCACGCCGGCGAAGATGAAGCGCCGAACAGATGTGTCGTCATCCGGTACTCGGATGGCTCTCGCCGCATGTCGCCGTTCTCCCACCATAGAAACCTTATCAGGTCTCTGTCTTCGGGGGCTACCCTGACTTGGTTGAACATGCCCTTCACGTCACATGTGATACCGATGCGCTCCTTTCGAAACCGAGTCAGGATACCGCACAGGTTGTTGGACACATCGGGCCCTTGCATGAGCTGGTTGTTCAGGGAACATCCCTGGAATTCTCCACTGCAATCAAACACTACGCGCAGCTTCTGTTTGGTTTGACTGTACACTCCGTGGTGAGTGACATACCATACCTTCCCGTCGTCACGGCATCGCTCGTCATCCGGAACAGCTTCAGCGTAGCCTTTATCGAGCATATCCTGCATGTATGCTTGATACTCTTCTTTCAAGCGCGGCTGCGATAGCAAGCGTCTCCTGAGGGAAGCAAGACGCTGCTCTGCCATGATCCGGTTGTTCGGGAACTGAGAGTCCGGGTCTTTCAGCGGCAGCGGTGCCACGAAGTGTCCATCTTCTCCCTGCACCATCTGCTCTTTCATCAACGTCTCGAACCTCATGTCCTCTTGTGACATCTTGGCACCCTTTGAGACCTCCTTGAAGTCACTATCGAAGAGATGTGATACTTGTTCTGGAGTAACTTCTCTCACTTGCATCCTGAAGGCAAAGTGTCGCCTGATAGTGACGTCACTACCCACGTTGACGAGGTAGCAGCCTGAAGAGGGCGTCGTCGGTGTCTCGACCGTGCCCACAACAGACCACCCCAGTTCAGTGCGAACTGCCCAGGGTTCGTTGTCTCCACCTGTGACTGTTTGCAGAGGCTTGATGGCTGCACCACAGTTCAACCCCAACAGCAGACCGATGTCAGCCTCTTCATAGTACCTCGGTAGGCTCGATGCCACTTCTGTGAGATGCTCCCAAGCCTGAACTGTTGACTTCCTTGGGATCAGCTGTCGATCAAGAAGAATGTCATCCCGTGTGTACGTGGTTGGTAGTTCAATCTCGGTGCCTGTGCTCAGGGATTCGATGACCAGGTCCTTCACAGCCAGTGACTCCAGCCTTGACTTGCCGGCCATCGTGCTTAGCTCCAACTGTATCGGTTCACCGTCAGCTTGCAGAGAGTCCCGAACGCTGCTCTTCAGGAAGCACGCGTCCGACTGTGAATCCAAAACTGCATACGTCACCAGGTTCAACTCCGGATGAAGTCTGTGCCAGATCCTGACGGGTACGATCATCGAATGTGAGCAGGGTGTCGTCCCTCGTTCGGCTGTCACCTGCAGTGACGTTGCAGTCTGAGTAGATCCATCGTGGACCGATCTCTTCTCTTGTGTCTCCCTGTGCACGGAGGCCAGTCGTTCGTCGTGCAGCAGGGTCGGGTGTCGTTTGCCGCATCTGTCACAGGTCTCCTTGCGCCTACATTCACGCCAGCGATGGCCAGCTCGAAGACAACCGCGACAGAGACGATATCTCTTTACCAGCTCGTGACGTTCATCTAACGAGCTAGATCTGAAGACATCACAAAGTCCAGTGATGTGTCGTCCTGGACACAACAAGCACTTGATAGGCGTCGGATCCAGTGAGCCTCCAGTGTGTCCGCTACGTAGTTCAGTTGCCGGCCTGGGGGCGCCTGCTGATGACAGGAAGGTCCTGACTCTACCATTAGCGGGTTGTGTTTGCGGGCGACGCTGGCTCCGCGTCTCCTCCTGGGTCGCCAGCATCGCCACGGGGCCCGAGGCGATTCTTGCTTCTCTTGCAAGAAATGTGACAAATTCATCGAACGATGGGTAACACGGTTCTTGGCCAGGCTCTGGCTCGTAGATTTTCTTGTCCACGATCCTTTTCCACTTATCGACGATGTACCTCGGCAGCTTCTTCAAGATCATTGCATTCTCTTCTGCTTCGCCTAGCGTTCTCATGCCTGGCACGACATCAGCAGTAGCAGAACACCCATCTAGAAAGTCAGCCAGCTGTTGCAGGGCCTTGGTGTCGCCCGGTTTGATCACAGGCCAGTCCCTCAGTCTTTTCTTGTAGCTTGTGACGGTAATGAAGCTGTTCCCATATCGCTCGATGAGGCGTGCCTTCGCTCGGTCATACGCGTCGTTGGTCCTGAGGCACAGCAGTCCGTGTATCGCACTCCTCGCTTCTCCGGCCGTGTAACGAGACATGTAGTTCAGCCGTTCAACTGGAGACTCGGTCTTGCTTTCAATGAAGGACTCAAACGACTTTAACCAAAGCGGAAAGTCTTCAACGTTGCCCTTGAAAACGTCTGGCTCCAGCTTAGGGAGATCACTTCTTTTGTTCTGAGCTGACAACAGCGTTGACAGACCCGTCAGCAGTTGTTCTTGAGATGTCATCTCAGCGTTTCCTTGCGGATCACCGACTGCGTCCAACGGAACTCTTGTTGAGCGACTGATACCGAGGCCAGCTGTGTCGACGGTCGGACCTTCAGTTTCTTGATAGTTTCTCAGTGTTGCGGCTTCATGCATAGCAGCAGGAGCTTGCTGATGTTCGACACACCTGCGAGGTCTTGCTCCTGTTTCCATAACAAACATCTCTTCTTCTTCCTCTGCAATCCGGTTTGCAGCTTCCCTCTGTGCTGCACTGACTTCAATTTGTGTCTTCAGCCGAAGCTCTTCTTCTTTCCATTCGAGTTCCTGTCTCATTTGGTCCAGTTTCCTCCTACTCTGGAGAGCAGCCATCTTCGCTTCCGCTTCAGCTCGCTGACGCTCATCCTGAAGGCGGGTTTCGAGCAGCTTAGCACGAAACGAGCTTGCAGTGCTCTTTCGAGATGCAGCGCTTTTGTTGTCATCATCGCGTTCAATCCTGAGGTCGGTTTGAGGCGTCTCTTGCGTCACACCCTGTCCTCCAACTGCACCAGGTGCAGCACTTGAATACGGGCGGCAGAGAAGCCCTCTTGGATCTTGTTGTCTTAGAAGACCAAGAATCACTTTCATTTCTTCCAGTTGCTGGCCATGTTTCTTGTCATGTTGGAGTCTGTCTTCAGGATCCAGCAGTTCTTGGAGTTCCTGTTCAATCTGTAGGAACTCCTGATGGCAAAGCATCCATTTGTCCAGAAGTTCCTGACTGATATCGTCTGCTATTTCCATACCATCTTCAGTCAGTATGCGCACTGACAGCTTGTTAAGCTCCTTGCAGTATCTGTTATATGCCTGTGTCTTGATACCACATTGGTATTCTCTGCCAGCTTCAGTCATCTTCTTTCCTCTTGTTGGTCGTGACCCTTCACATACAGTTGTCTTCTTCTCTTGCACTTGAACCCTCTGTTGATCCATCTTGTCTTCAATTCTCCTCTTCAGTGATACCAATGACAAGGATGGGACATTACATTGGACAGAAGGTAAGCTTGTTCAGCTTGTGTTCATTGAGTGATTGGGAAAGGAAGCGGCAAACGAACTTTTACTGTAACCGCGTTTCGTCAACTACCATCAATAGAGAAGGACAGTTAGGATTGCCCCAGTGATGTATTGCAGCAGTAGTCCATTCATTTGTCACGTAAAAGCTGCAACAAACACGCACAGATCACGCACCGTCAGTCACATGAAGCTCATGCAGTGCTCATGCACGATTCATGCACGACAGCCCTGCGCAAGAAGCTATGCGGACAAGACAATCGAGCAAGCATTCTAGCGATTTGTTTGACAGTGCATTATTCACAAGCAATCATTCACATTTTGTACTGTCTGGCGTCTGCTGAACATTCTGTTGTGATCAGTGTCAATTCAAAGTAGTGGCCAGCTCATTAGAAAACAAATGACTCCATAGCGTAGCCACAGTTGACCGCAGACATTTAACACATAAACGTATGGATACGTACTTCGTTTGCAAGATGAAGGAGTTCAATGGTCCACAATACGCCTGTCATCAATGAACAATTACTTTAGCACGTTTGCACTGTAAGAGAAGGCAAAACATGTGTGAGCAAACCCGGCAGCCACGATTGCAACACAAAGCAAACGTCCCAACATCCCATGCAGTGCAAATTCCGCAGGCAGACATGCACAGGTAAGTGTTGCACATTCGCATGCCCTAAGCAATAAACTGAACTGGCACCTCCTATTCCTTCAATTCCCCCTCTCGGCGGTAACACATACATACATACATACACAGGGTTGAACACGTGACACTGACATTTGTAATTTGATCTCTTCGGCCTTCGGTAGGGAAGGCACCGAGGCCGCACGCAGATCGGAGCATTGTCCGTCATATCGATCTGCACTTCACAGTGCCTGCAACGATTTTTGGCAGTGGCGCCATCCTCAGTCACTGTCGATTGTCGATCCCGGAGACCTCCTTTACAACATTCCGTTATTTAGCTACGTGCCAGACCTCGTATCTCGTAAGCATCTCGTATCAGGCATCTGCAAAGCCAGCGGCGATTGACGGTGCAGTGTGAACCCGCCGAATGCGGATATGCACCATTGCTACGGGTTTCCAAACACACACACACACCGACACGTTTAGAGACAAACAGGCCGATATTGGCGGACACGATATGAACATACGCTAACCTACTCCAACGGCCTCGCAACGCTTGTCACAGTCGCTGCAGAGTGCAGGTGTACCTGCACGCACTGTGACGCCGCTCTTTACGTATAAATGCTAAGGCATCGTCCGCACTAGAAAGGCTGCACTGCGATGTCGTTTGTCGGCCTCAGACCGCTGGGCGCTGCATCAGCAGCCGAGAACAGTCTGTGAATGAACGAGTGACCGGAACGGAAGACGCTTTCCGGAGCAAACCGTACCTATCGTTTTAACGCAAAGCATCTGATGATGAGATAAGTCAGAGCATCGGTCGAGCTACGCAGTTACAAAGCGTGCGAGGCTGAGCACCAGACCGTGAAAAACATATTTGCACATCTCACCGGTCACGGGTCTCAGTTGATGATTGTGATAATGACCTCAGCTCGGAAGCTGATACAAGTCTGATGCATGATATCTGGTGGTGATTTCCTCAAGTGCGGCGCAAGCAAGAGCGCTGGGCGGCGAGAGTATGGATGATGAAGTTGCTGCGTCGCTGGTTTTCAGCGTTGGGACCAGTTCAGTCAGCGAATGACAAGTAGCCGAGCCGGCTCTAACCGACACCACGGGAGGCGACATAATACGTCATTTAGCATTCAGTGATTCGGCGTTCAGCATTAGCTGTCCTTTCTGGTTCGTCGTCCTTCCAATTTCCATGACTTCAGACTTGCGAACTAATAATGATTTGTGCTTAAAGCTGGCTGACCCATGTGCCCGGAGGCCGGAAGTGTCGTCTATGACTCGTTTTGATCACTGTGACCTCGACCTGTGGGCAACTTGGTACGACCCGGACTGTTCACGGTGACCTGGGTCGTCCTCTCGGATCCAGGTGCCCAAGTCTGAAGGCGCTGACATGTGACCCAAATGACCCTATGACCTGACCTGACCCATTGTGACCCAGCTGAACCAAAGTGACCGCATGTGACCCGACGTTGAACCCTACTGTAGTTCCACAGCCCTGTGATCGTTTGTGCCGCTGCATCCTTTTTATCAGTTACCGGATATAGCCAAACCCAGCGTGGTAAACATTCGTTGA